TTATTATTTCCATTTTTGAAAGTCGTCACTTACCCCTACCTTCAGATGGCATCAACGATTTTCCTACTTCTTCGCAGTAACATCTTATACCTATCCTCTTTAGGGAGTAGTAGCAGGCATCCCCCCTGCATCACATGATCACCTCCGCCTGGCTCTCGTTAACATTCATCCAATGGCCGATCAACAATGTGGGCGTGACCAGACTAGTCTTGTTTCTTGCTCAAAATATCGTGCTCAAAAAAAAAGAACTATCTCCATTTTTTTCTTTTTTTTCTATTTCCTTTCTTTCTTTTCTTTTCTATTCTCTCTTTTCTCTGGCCGCCAACAGAACAATGCGACCCGTAGTGTGATAATCTCAATTCCTATCCCAAGGTCACTTTCATCTGGACTTCGTCAATCATCAAAACACCGCCAACTTTTCCGATAAAATAGTTTCGCTATTATCGCCAGATTCTAACACAACCCAGACCTTGTCCAACGATATCTTTCCCTCGACAAAGACTTAACCTATTTTCTTTGTTTTCTTTTTTTTCAGCTCGTGTGTTGTCAGTGCATTCCCGTGACACAGTTAAATGTTTATCTATTCTGTGCCGGAGTTTAGCTAGCCGATCTGGAATTTTCGCCAGCACCAAGTGGCTGTTATCTATTCCCGATAATATAAGTCCGCCACCACGACACAGTTATTTTTTATCTATTTAGAATTTTCGACAATGGCAATGATACCTTTCACCATTTGTCACTATCAAAATTTCTTTTCTTTCCCTTCTTTTCTTCCTTTTCTTTGCTTCCCTAAATGGTGTCACATTACAATAAACCTTTACTTATTTTTCCACCTTGTTTTTCAAGTATATACTCCTATTAGCACGGAATATAACCCAATGTAAAATCATGAGACATTGCCACCTGCTTAGTACTGCGCTTATATTCATTGCATGGGAACCATAAAGTAGAGCACGTCAGAATAATTACGATGAAAATACTAATAGAAGAGACGCAGGGAAGTTCTATTAAGGCGGTGAAAAAGTATCTGAAAGTTAGATGCCAGGTTAGGATCAATGAAATTGCTGATTCTTTACTTGGATTTATAGATAAAAGGTGTTTTAGAAAAGTAGAATGTGTTTTAGACAAACGAAAATGCGCTAAATCATCGTACAAATATTCCCCACTTATTCTGCCGTGTGTACCGTTTCTCAACAGAACGATCTCCAAAACCTCCTGCCCATCGTAACTCTGAGAAATGCTGGTATTTTTAAAACGCTTCCTCATTCCCAGTTCTACTATCCATTTACAAAATCATATTAACGAATCGATCTTCACGTATACTCTGCCACATAAAAAGGAAATAATAATCCTCGAAATCCTGACGAATAAAAAGCTCTGCAGAATAAGAACGGAGAGAGGGAAAGAACAGTTCGATTTTGTTACAGACACTGGGACAAAAGAATGTGACATTTATACACAGAACAATATTAGAAATAACAGTAAACATTCAAAAGGATATGTTTTATGCATTATTAAAATAGGCGTTTAATAAAGTACATAATTAAGCTTGATTTATGTGGGAAGGATATTAGAATAATCCAGAACATATTGAGAGCCAACAGCCAGCACAGGTAGTGGAAAAGAATTTAGTAAATACACAAAAATAGAAAAGGGCGTAATAACAAAATATAGTAATACCAGGATTCATTTTTGACGCTCACAATGTTAAGAACAGTAGACATACAGATGACACAATATTGATAACAGACACATGAACACATAGAAGGCAATAAGGGAAATCGAAATGAAAGCACTGAACATCACTTGTAACACAGAGTGTATTCTTCTCAGGTAAAGGAGCATCCCAACATGCTAATTACACATTTAACTTACAGGTACACCAATTTAAATAACTGGCAAGTGTTTTAACAACTGGCAGAAAGTGTGACACCGAAAACCGAAGGTGAATTGCGATAGCGAAATATGCCTTCCAAAATATAAGCAGAGGATTAAGACACAGGAAAATTTCGTCAGAAACAAAGTAAACTTATGTAATATAATCCCTTCGATATAGTAGTGAATGCTATAGAATCACTTCACATAAGATAAAGAGACTTGAAACAGCAGAAAGAGATCTTTAAAAAAGGTTGCTGCGAATACCATGAACGGAACATGTGAGCAACGATGAAGATGAATTATAAGAAAGAGACAGTTGACAGTCTTAATTTAGGGTAAGAGACAGTTGACACTTATAATTATGAGTAAGTGAGAGTTGACACTTAGAATTATGAGTAATAGGCAGGTGACACTTATGAAGAAGAGGTATTTGAGATTTAAACTTATAAGAAAGAGACAATTGACATAACTATAATAAACAGACAGTTGATACTTTTAATATTAAGAAAGAGACAGTTGACACAGTTATAAGAAAGAGACAGTTGACACATGCTTATAAAAAAGAGACAATTGATACGTACATTTATAAGAAAGAGTGAGTTGACACTAATACTTCTAAGAA